ACAGAGAATTTTTTTAAAAAATTACTTGTGTTGAGTAATTTAAGTTACAGATGGTTGTGAGTTGTCATGTATGTGCTGGAAGTTGAACTCAGGTCCTCCAGAAGAGAAGTCAGTACTCTTAACCACTGAACCACTTCCTGAGTCCCAGGTAGAAAGAATCTCTAGAACACACCTGCCTCTGTGTTTCTTGGGGTGTTGGTCTAGCACTGTGTGGCTATTCCAGCCTAGGCGATAAGGGTGCTGATGTATTAAGTCCTCCTTGACAGTTCAGAGCACATTTTCTAAGACACCTCAAATAATCAACCGTCTGTGCTTCAAGTACTAAGTGCTTGGTTCTACTTCATATAGATAGCTTATCTCAAAGCAAAATCCTGCTAGAATAATAACTAAATATAGACATCTCAGGGCTTTGTAAGGTTCACCCTGAAATGACTGCTTATATTATCCAGTGCTGCCATGTTTGCACAGTTGGAGTGATTATACCAAGAGGCACTTACTAAGAAGAATTATATATTTGCCTTTTTTGAAATCATGATAATTTGATTGGATTCTAATCTTAGGCAGTATTTGTAAGAGGGAAGAAGAGAAAGGATAAAGGGATAGAAAGCAAGGAAGAGGAGAAATAAAGAATGGAGAGAGAGAAAAGAGGGGATAAGGGATAAAGGGAAACACAAAGGAAAGGCAGGGAGGGAGGCTGAGACTATCATTTGAAACTGCTGCTGAAATAGCCCAGTTTTATGCCAGGGCCAACCTGAAACAGGAGGCTCATTCAGCATTTCATTTTCAATATAGTCTTGTTTTTTAGGCCACACCGTCTGCAACCCATCACTCTCAATCAACACTAATCTCCTCCAAAAACTATCACCATACCTGATGTCTGGGGTCAAGGCTCTGTCTTAGCAGGTTACCTTATATGTCTGTCACTGGTTTGTCACTGGTTCCATCTCAAAACTACATTTCTAACAAGTTTCAGGAACACACACTTTCCTAAAAGTTTTCCTGGGTAGCTTCGTGGTAGTGGCTAAATTCCAGTAGCATCCTGGTCTGTGATTGCCTCTTGGTGTCTTCCCTCCGGCTGTGAAAACATGGTAGTGCAGAATAATATACACATCCTTGGATTTTTCTAGAACCCAGGGTCCTTTCTCCGACCAACGCTGGCTGTCCATACTGAGACCTACACCGAGACAATGAAGCAGTGCCTCTATGCCTAGGACTTAATTCTGCAGTCCCAGGACAATTATTTTTCTATGCAGTACATCAGAAGCCTTTCCCTTTTGTAAGTGAGAAGAATATTATAAAACCATCTGTGAAAGAAATACAGGGTGAACCTGAAAGGCCATTCTAAACTTTGTTTAGGAAAACTAGTTTTCACAGGTTGGAAAGAAGGGTGTAAAGAGAAATTAAATCAATCGTGTTTGCACACAAGTTATGAAAAGTATCTGTCAGTAGCATCCAATTCTCACAGAGGATGGCGAATTGGGTCATAATTAATCTCCAGTGTGAGTTGCATGTAGGACAGCATGCAAAACCTTAATGAAACGGATTGTATTACAACTTTTACTTCATCTCCAGGGCCCCTCAGAGTAGGAAATCAGATAAAACTGTCCTTCTTTCTGTCCTCCACTCTTGGTCTGCTCTTCCTCTTGTCCTTCCCATTTTCAAACCAACAACAAAGGCCCATATACCACACTATCCTACGTATAGTTCTATTCAAATACCTCTGGGGAAAAATACATGGTACATGTGTCCTGATGTATCCCGGGTCACCCAGAAAACTGCAAATGGCAGCTGACATCTGCATGGAATTACCTCAGCTTGGTCATGGGGACAGAAGCTGAGGATAAGCTCCCAGTAGATTTTATCTCTATGATACTCTATTAAAGTGGGAAAGGAAGCAACCACGGTGAAGTTCCAAAAAAGTGTGTTCAAGTCAGTCACCAGGTTTTGTTTTGGGTCACTGTTCAGACAGCTGCTCTGTAGAAATAAATTGGGTAAGCTGTTGTATGCATCCTAACGTGAAGTCAGGCTTTAAATCAAGTGCGGAGTAAGCATTAGGCTGGGAACAAAGGGTCCCAGTCATGGAGAGACCTCAGTTTCCTCATTGTAAAGTAGGGTGGCAGTGCTCCATGTTCCCTGGGAGTGTTGTAGTGTGTTGGGAGGGTGATAAGGAACCTGCGTTGGTGTCCGGAGTTGATCTCAGTTCCCTTGTTGTAAGCAGGTGGCAGCGCTAGTCAATCTGTAGAAGGCATTGGGAAAGAGCTGAAGGGATCCTGGATTAAAATTGACCTAACCATGAAATTATGAGCAAAAATGTATTTCTCTGTGTGATTTCACTGAGTATACCCAACCCTGCTTCCAAAAAGTGATTAAGAAGTGTTAAGTTATAAGGTTGGTGAGATGGCTCTGTGGTTAAGAGCACTTGCTGCTCTTCTAGAGGACCCAGGTTCAATTCCCAAAATTCTCATGTCAGTTCACAACCATCTGTAACTCCAATTTCAAGGGGTCCTATGCCCTCTTCTGTTTTCTGTAGATACAAAAGACACACACATGCACATGGAACACCCATACACATACAACACAATAATTTTTTAAAAAATTGAAAGAAGCATTGTTACTCAAATTCAAAAATTCATCAGTGTTGACTGAGCTCTCATCACTCCATGTGACTATTCAGGCTGTGGAATATGTCTTGGGCAACAAAATCCAGGATGCATATGTGTTTTTCAGGTCTAAACATTGAATGTTTAAAAACTAAGCTAGGGTCGATGGCTATCTAGGATAGAGCTGGATAGACGGCTCAGATGTTAAGAGCACGGGGCGCTTTTCTGGAGGACCAAAGTTCACTTCCTAGTACTCCCAAAGTGGCTCACAACCATCTCCAACACCCAATTCTGGCCCTCACAGGAGCCAGGCACACACTTGGTGCACAGACATACATGCAGGCAAGACACCCGTACACATAAAACAAATTGATCTAGATGCTGATTACAAATTTACAAAAAATGTTATATGTTTTATAGAGACTTAATAATTTTAGACTCCAAATCTAGGTTTTACCATTAATAAACAGACTTAACCTTATGCATGCAAACCTACACTAGAAATACTTTGTCTCCAAACAAGAAAATTAGAAATTATTGGCATAAATGACTGCTCTTTAAAAACTAATCCACAAGTGATTCTCCTTCAATCAAACATTGGTGATTTGTATTTGGAAAAGGATTTTGAAGTCTACAAATTAAATCACTTAGCTGTTTCAACTATTCTACTGGGTTTTTGGGGGGAGGGGGGCCACTTGCTTGTTTGTTCTGTTCTTTTTGTTTTCTAGATAGGGTCTCACCTTGTACCCCTTCGTGTGCCTGGAACTCATTAGACAGACCAGGCTGATCTCCAGCTCGCAGAGCTCTGCCTGCCTCTGTCTCATGGGTACTGAGATTAAAGGAATGTACCACCACACCTGAACAAGTTTTCTATTTTTATTTCTCTTGTTTTAAATGTATTCTGTTCTTTCTCTGTCATTGCACCTGAAAAGTAAAGACAATGAACTAAATACCTCAAAATCCTCTCTTTTCAAATCCATCTACCCACAGCATTGGGCATCTTCCCCTCAGTATCTATTGTTCACTTGGAGATTAGCATAGGCCAGGCTCCCCTTTCACATTAGCAAGGTTGTAGTTCTTTTGTTAATGTGAACAAGTCTTTCTATCTTGTCCCTTGATCTACCTGAATGCTCTTGAGATATTAGAACATCAGTGGCAGGGCATGATTGTCATGGGTTCCTTTTCGCTATGAGCAGGAGAAGTTTCACAATGTCTGTTTCATTTTCCTTAGTTCAAAAGGCCAATTTTTCTAGAGCCATGAAAGGATTCCTGTATTTGTCCAGAATGTGAAAAAACCACCTTCACAGATAGTGGAAAAGCCAACTTGGGTGGATCAGCAGCCTGGCTCCCGGCTCATGGGTGTTTGGCAGTACCCAAGAGTCCAGGCCATCAAAGCTGCAGTAAATCTGGTCCACTGGAGTCCCACTTTCAAGTCACCCAGCAACATTAGGAAGATGTTTCTCCCACATTTATAATTAAGTATATTTTCTCTGGGTGTTAACTGTCAGTCTCTCCTTATATGGCAGGCATTTGCTTAAATAAAGCATTGGGTGCATAGTCTTCTGCTTTGAAAAAAAAATATCTCAGGTATCATTCCTGTCTTATGTGGACGAACCAGCTTTGCTAAAGGTTACTGCTGAGGAGTTAGAAGGTCTGTCATAACTGTCATTACCCTGAAGGAAAGCGGAGCACATGTCACACGGCTGGAGTAGCCCCACAGTAGTCATGTACTCTATAGCAATGCTGTTTCCCGTGAACTCACCTAGCAAAGGCTATGCTGGCAAAGGCTGTGCAGCAGACAGCAAAGAGAGTTGTATCTGTCCCATAGCTGTAGAATGTGAGGCTTTAGAGTTCTACAAATGCAGCTTCTTATGACAGAAGGTATCTAACCAGGTCATTGCATCCACATCTACAACCTCCTCAACTTTATAAACAAGAAAGTGGGATCGTGGGAAATAGCATTCTCCTACAGTCAGGTTGTCGTCATGTTCTTTTAGGCTGATAGTGTTTGCCCTGTCCTATTCTCAAGCAGGTCTCTTTGCCTCCCACAAAGGCTGGTTCCCACTTGGTGCCCACATCTAGATTTGAATAACTGCTCTTGATGCCCGTAAATGTCAAGAGAGGCAATATTCCCTCCTAGTTACTAAATAAGACTAAATTTTGGTGCCAAGTTACAGAGAAGCATAGTTTTAGAGACAGATAAGAAATTGAATACACCACAGTACTGCTTGGGAAAATGAACAGTGTAATAATCTAATATTCTTAATTTTATGTACATGAATATACTATATATCATTTTTTACATGAAATACACATAGCATTTAAACATTTTACTGAACAAACAAGAATTTACAACAATATTACTGCCTAGAGGGCAATGTGATCTTAGATTAGATCTATATTTTAACCTAATAACATCTATAGAAAGAAATGATTTGCATTTGTGAATGTGTGCAACAAATGGCATTTTTTTTTTTAATTTTTAGGTAATAAAATAATTTAGAAGCAGTTCATGCAATGCTCAAAGCAAGGGGTGGTATCCGTCAAGATATCCTCTTCCTTTGACATCAACCAGTATCAGACAGATGGACCCTAAGTACCACAGGTGTGTTTGAGTACAAGTTGTGTGAGTCTCCAGATTATGTTACACAGATATCACCTACACGGATATCACCGTAGACTTGTTGGTATCCCAGGTCACAACTTTGGTCCTCCGTGAGAGGAGTCAGTTTACAGAGTGATTCCATGTCTCTACTGGAGTCTACACATCTTCACTCATGGTAACTAACAGACCTTCCTTGTCTTCACAACTTTACTCTGATATTTCACAGAGTGTCCCCCATGTCCTACAACATAAACATCCAGCAGGTAAGACTTGCCAGGCTGCAGATCTTTAATTGTCTCTGTGGTGGTTGCTTCCTGTGGATTTTGGCTGTGGAAATATTTGCAGAGGACCTTCTCTGACTTCTCCCTGGTGTCTGGTCCGAGGCATCGGTTTTGCTCTCTTCTCTTCCGGTCTTCGCTGTAATTCCCATCCACTTCCTTTCTGTAGATACAAAACTTCCTCCTTTCTTGGGTGCCTAGCCAAGCCACGGTGACTGAAGAGCAGGTGCGTAGCTTATCAAAGGCTTTGATTCTCGTGTCTTCCGGAAGAGAGGGGAAAGCCTGCTTATTGGGCTTGGTGGTGGCCAGTATTTTCAACATAGATGTTCCTTTCTTGTTGCCTTTCAGACGAATGAGGTATTTTGCTTTGGGTTTTCCTCTTAGCCGGAACTGCCGAACGCCTTCCACATTCTGGGACAGAATCAGCTTCCTGTCTCGTCTCACTTGAACTTGAACAGCGTCCAGACAGGAGTGAATAAAGAAGCTGGCTTTTTGGTGAGAGGAGACTGGAGCAAATCGCAGAAACTTTGTTCCCTTCCTTTTAACAAACACGTCTGTGACCCTCCCATCTTTTAGCTCCACTATTTTCCGTTTGGCTTCCTCCTTGGTTTTGGCAAAAGTACCCACATAAGCTGTGCTCAGGTTGCTGTTGGTATTGACCATGAAGACATCAAAGTAGTACTGGGTGTCCGGCTTCAGGTCAGAGACTGTGAAAATGTTTTTATTTCCTATGCAGATCTTCTGAATATCAACCTTCGGCCTCCAGTAGCCATAGCGTCCCACTTTGGGGGAAGGCTTTGTCAGGAAGCTGCGATCTTTACCCAAATTATCTGTTGGAAATCCAAAATGGGCAAAGTCAAAAGGGCTAAAGTCCAGGCCAGGTTTGGGTGCCATCATGAAGGCATCATCTGCACCTAGCTTTGCTTCCACGGCACAGAGGCTCTTGAAATTGTGTTCCTTGTTGATGACCACACAGTACTCAATGGGTTGTTTCAACAAAGAGGCCGTGGGGCTTGGCTTCCAGACCAAAGTGATTGTGGTGCGTCCCAGGGAGGTCACATCAACTCGGGGGTCATATGGCAATTCAGGGTATGGCTGATCAGATTCTGGAGTGGTGGTGGCATATATTTTGAAATGTGTGTCTTTCTCTGTTGAAAGTAGCTCTAGCTGATATAAACCAGATGGGGAACTTGAAGACAGAAAATACTCAACATCATTGCCCTTGTAGGAGAATAGTTCTGTGCCCTCCAAGTTAGTCTTCTGCTGCTTCTGCTGATCAAGTGGTTCAGGGTCACCTGGAGAAGAAGGGAGAAGAATAGGCTGAGTGCTACGGTGGTTTGTCAACCTTAGATTATGTTTCAAACATTGTATGTTCATGTCAAAAATAATGACACAGTCCTAGCAAAGACAATGGCACCAAAGGAAGCAGGAAAGTCACCAATTTCTCACCAGAGAGTTTTATTTTTATTCTTGTGTTGTGGAATATGAGCTTAAGATGTGTTACACTCATTTATTCCGTGGAATATTTAATGATGCAATTCTTTTTTTTTAATTGAGAAAAGGAAAAAAAAAGTTTCCACCTCCTCCCAGCCTCCCATTTCCCTCCCCCTCCTCCCACCGCTCTCCCCCTCCCCCCACTCCTTTCCCCCTCCCTCTCCAGTCCAAAGAGCAGTCAGGGTTCCCTGCCCTGTGGAAAGTCCAAGGTCCTCCCCGCTCCATCCTGGTCTAAGAAGGTGAACATCCAAACTGGCTAGGCTCCCACAAAGCCACAACATGAAACATCAAAACCCCGTGCCATTGTCCTTGGCTTCTCATCAGCCCTAATGATGCAATTCTTTCACGTTGCATTTGTTTAACTCTGTAAAGGTGTCTTGCTTTGCCTGTCTAAAACACGTGATTGAGCTAATAAAGAGGTGAACAGCCAGTAACTAGGCAGGAGAGGGATAGTCAGGGCTGCATGCAGAGACAATAGAGAAGGAAGGAAAAAAAAAAAAGGAGCAGAAGAATGGGAGAATAGGACACCAGGGACCATCCACACAATCAACCATGGAGTTAAAGAAAGATATACAGAATAGAGAAAGGTACAAGCCTAGAGGCAAAAGGTAGGTTGAATGATTTAAATTAAGTAAAGCTGGCTATAAATAGCCCAAGTTAAGGCCAGGCATTCATAAGTAAGGATAAGTCTCAGTGTATATATTTGGGAGCTGGGTGGCAGGCCCCCAAAGAGTAAAAAAATAAATAAAACAAAAAAAGCAAAACCAAAGAAAAAACCCAAAACCAACAACACTTCTATGCTTCTATCCAGTTTTTTCTCTTACATGTTTTTTGAACAGTTAATGTAATTTTCACTGATTTCTCTCCATAACTTAATAAAATATACCTTCATAAATATATGAATCTAGATAAGCCTCTAGTTTTAAAACCCTGTTCTTGCTTATGTCATAAAATAATACTATTGATTTATCTTTTCCTATTTCAAATGATGCCCATGCATGAGCAAAGTTTTTATTAATTTATTTCTTCAGGACAGAGTGCAGTTAGAGGAAAACTTAGGGCAAACTTTCTAAAGACTATTAATCCGATGTGAATGAAAATGATTCAAATGTTGCTTGCACATGGTCCATTGTTCAAATCTCATGACTGATAGTGGGACTGGAGAACCTGATTAAAATACAAGGCATAAAGTGCCAGTAAAGGTGCATAAGGACCAGTGTTCAGAATTGGTTCCCAGGATAATATAGAGGGAGTCTTAAAAACCAAAGGGATTTTTCCTGATTAAAAATATTGGCTACCGTTAACATCAATACCATGCAAACATAAGCATAAAAGATCTATAACCCGATAGAATGCTGGGCGACCAGAGTGAACAGCTCCATTCCAGATTATTACTATAAATTGAAAGTGTATAGAATGACTTATCTCAGAATTACAAGCAGGAAGAACAGAACCATTGAATCCATTAATGTCAGAGTATATATGCACCCTTTACTTCCCAGAAATGAGACATTCTTAACCTTGCCTGGGCTTCAAAACCACCTGTAGGGAGCTTTTTGTACACCACAGCAATTAAGCCGGATCATCTGGGGCTGAAATGCAGGCACCTGGAGTTCCAGATGCTGCAAATATGCAAACAGGCTTACAGACAACAGACACAGAGGCTGTCCAAACCGTTGACCTCCACACTCCCGTTTGCCTCTTTTATTTTACCAAGATCCATGTCATCTCATCATATCAGGCTCCAGCCTCACATGTGCAACTGGGCTGTCTCCCTTCTTTGCAGAAGATTGTGGGTTTCAGAGCTCTAAGGCTAGGTGGATCCTGCCACGTACCTGATCCATCTGTGCTCGCCTCCTCAGGCAGCTCCTGAAGGCTAAGCTTCCACTCCAGAGGTGCATCACAGGGTGTCACAGTGACGGACAGTGGGGTGTTATCCTCCTCAACCATGAAGAAGTACCTAGGGGTAAGTTCAGACCCCATGATGATTCTGATTGACAGTCAAGACTTACTAGAAAAGCTACTTGGTTTTTGTGTTTTTACCTATTTAACCCATTTCAGCGAAAACACAAAACTATGAAAGCCCAATGGTTCAAAGGCCAAATGGAGTTCAGCAGCCAAATTGAACATCAACAAATACAATCAAACCACAAGCCAAACATCAACAAATACAAGGAGGTAATAAAAGGATATTCAGCCAAGTGTTCTGTGTTCAAGATGAACTCTTGTCTATACACAGGAATTCCTGCCATAAGATAAGTCACAACCATTAAGCATTCCCTGTGTGCCCTGTAGCACCGAGCTTTGACAAGTATTTGTGCTACCTTGATGACACTTTGACATGCCATCCATGATGTCAAAAGATCAATTTCCAACATCATATCCCAAAATTCACCCTTGGTGTCTGGCAAGATAGCAGTGTGTATGTGTTTATTATTTAATTACTAAAACAACCCATTAAATTAAGTACATTAATAATTTGAAAACAAAATTTAAAAAATTCAAAACATTCTGCTCTGTTTTTTGGTTTTTTTTACTCCTCAGACAATTTTTATGGTACCCCAGAAGACACTTTATGGAGAATAAAAATATCATTAACCTATAAAATTATGCATATTCTAACTCTAAATTGCCTTCATGATCTCATGTAATTATGTTTCAAAGGCTGTAACTCTGCAAATGAGGGAAACTGGTGTCGGTGTTGGATAGCTCAGCAGTGCCCACTGGTTCTATGGCAAAGGAGGTGGGTGGGCTTCACTCCCTGTGTGCAGCATCAGGTTAGCATTCTTCACGTCCTTCTTCCCACACACCCACCAGTGACACACATGCCACCTTGACTGCATTACACACCCACCAATGACACACAAGCCACAATAACCACATTAAACACCCACCAGCGAGACACACACACACACACCACACTGGCCACATTACTCCACCTTGCTGACTCTGCTCACCTCCCAAGCATCTAATCGCCTCTAGTGAGTCTGGGTTGTCACATAGATGTCTTTTTTCTATCTGTTCTTGCTCTCATATCATCTCACCTGGATGTCTGGTTTTACCTTTTATGTGTTAATAACTTTATTAAACAATAAAGTTCAAATTTATTAAACAAATCTTGAATTCTTTCCATCTTCAATAGGACACTGGTATTTCAAACTTAAGACATTTAATCTGAATTCCTGCCGACCATCCGTTTTTAGTAGATGACAACACCAACCTTCTGGTTATCCAGAAACTCATCTTTGAGTCTCTCTTGACTTTTTTTTTCCTACTTCACAAACAAAATGTCAGTATTTTTTACTTTGTCTTAGAAATACATTCAGACAATACTGCTTTGTCTTCATTCCCTCTAGCCTCCTGACTAGGCTACCTGTTTTCACACTGGATCTTTTAATTTTGCAAACCTTAAACAAAGTACCCCCATCCAGGCAACCCCCACCTCCTCTCCAAACCCTCTGAGACCTGGGCACTTCAGAGTAGGAGTTACAGAGCTTACAGTATCCCACATGTCCAGCCTCAACTGAATCTATTCTGCCATGGCTTCACTCAGAGTTTTGTTATCTGGTACTGTGTCCCAGCTCCAGCCTGTGCCTCTGCTCTTCCCCCAAGCAGAGCACTCCTCTAGACCAAGGCCTGCGAATATGGAGGCGCTTCTTGCAGCACTCTACCCCAGCACTGTTTTGGATCTATTTGGGTTCCATACGTAAAATATTCCCTTACTAATGAGTGTCTCCTTCATTTTATTTTTAAAGTATTTATTGTCACTTAACAGATTATATGTTTGTTTTATTCCTTTTTAAAATTTTCTGTCTCCCTCGACTAGACTGACAGCCACAAGAGGGCAGCCATTTGTTTTATTGCTATAATATATAATATATATTCATTGTATTATATATATATATAATTCAAAATAATTGCTGAAGGAATTAGCCAATTGTGATGTCCATCTTTAAATCATTTAACTACTTTTTTTCCCATTGAAACAAGAGCAATCTCTATAAACATCCTGTTCAAAGTTTCTAGAACCTGATGAAACACTGGGCGACCAGAATGAGAACAAGTCTTTCCTAGCTTTTACTGCAGGTTCTGAGTGAATATGGAGAATTTCTTATTCCCAAACTAAGAGAAAAAAACCTCACTAAATAGATCATTGTGTATGTCAGAGTTCCTTTCTTGTGTTTAAGCCTCACCATTTCTCACAGGCTCCTGTACCACTTCCCAAGTACCATAACTCACATGCATCCTTCATACAAGAGCAAATATCAGACCTTTATGTTTAAGATAGGGGCCCTGAGATGGAGCCACAGTATTGTCATGGCCCGGCACAAACCTTGCATTTTACATGTATAAAACACAGTTGTTGTTGTTGCTGTTGTAGTTTTCAGTTTTGAGCCTCTTCACGGCTTTATATTTTAGCATTGAGAAAGTCTGTAACTGATCTCATGGTCAAGCGTCCTCAGTGGGGTCCTGCCTTCCTCACCAGGCTCTGGTCTTCTTTCCATCTCTCTGGCTTTTCTTGCTGTAACCACATAGGACTTCTGTGATCTCCCAAGCACTTCTTATTCCTGGGTCTTTGAAATGTGTGTGTGTGTGTGTGTGTGTGTGTGTGTGTGTGTGTGTGTGTATTTTGACAGCCTCACCTCTCTGCCTTCTTCATATTTATATCCTGCTTCTTCAGAAATGTCCTTCCTCACTCATCCCAGGTGTTTGCATGTTGTCTCTCAGGGCCTGTGCTGCTCATTTCTCACATTCGTTGCACCTCGGGACTACATGTATTTATATTGTTACTTGTTTTCATATTCCCCCACTGTCTGCTTAGGGCTCATCTCCCATGCCACTGTATGCCCTGTGCTTAGCATGCTAGTACAGATTTCTGCATAGAGCAAGCACTTGCCGGAAATTTTTGAATGAATGAATTACTAAGTCATTGAGCTAAATTCAACAATCTCGACAGCAATCTTATTAGTCTAGCCTGAGGATATTATATCTAGAATCTGTTTCTGTTTGAATACATAGAATCCAAACAAAAATAGAAGTGTTTCTCTAGAGCCGCGTGGTGGTGGCGCACGCCTTTAATCCCAGCACTCGGGAGGCAGAGGCAGGCGGATCTCTGTGAGTTCGAGACCAGCCTGGTCTACAAGAGCTAGTTCCAGAACAGGCTCCAAAACCACAGAGAAACTCTGACTCGAAAAACAAACAAAAAAGAAGAAGAAGAAGATGAAGAAGAGGAAGAGGAAGATGAAGATGAAGATGAAGATGAAGATGAAGATGATGAAGAAGAAGAAGAAGAAGAAGAAGAAGAAGAAGAAGAAGAAGAAGAAGAAGAAGAAGAAGAAGAAGAAGAAGAAGAAGAAGAAGAAGTGATTCTCTATACTACTCTGAAATGAATTTGGAGATGGTAAAGTGATATGGATCAGACTGAGGAACGTATTAAGCAAATGCAATGTCTTAAAAATAATGCCAGACAATCATCTAAGAAGACAAATAGATGATTCAGCTGTTTGTGCTACGGCCATCCATACACGTGTCAGGATATTTACTATTTAATTCTACCTGCTATCTGAAGAAGTTTGGTTTGGTTTTGGTGGTTGCTTTTGTTGTTGTTGTTGTTTTGTCTTTTAGCAGGGATGACATTAAGCTGAGCCTATCATATCACAGAGAAGGCGACACAACATCAAATAGTGTCTGGAATTTGGTAGTTTACGCCTTTGCTTTTTATTTGAGTATCACAAGATAGCAATGTCATAGCCAAAAACAGCAGTCAAGCAGATCTGTTTCCTGCTTTCTCCCTTCAAGAAAACAGTCTATTCCCTTAGTTAAGCAACTGCAATTAGTAACTTGATGACAGAGCATGGATGTCTGTACCCCTCAAGGTGACCATTGGGCAAGTACAGCCACAGGACACCCCAAGGTAATACTTTCATCTAAAAGCTTTCAAGTTAGGGAAAAATGAGAATCTGAACCAGCTCAACAATATGGCATGCATTTGTTACTAAGCCACACAAAGCACATGTAGAACAGAGGGACAATAAGAAATGATTGGCATGATCTCTGTGTTCAGATATGTACTGCCACTTGAGGCTGGAGGAGATGAAATCAACAAGGAAGCAAGAATGAGGGATGCATACTACAAACCATCCAGCTTTGCAATTGATTTGCAAACATGAGAACAACTTGTACACTGGATGTCTTTCCTACAATCTTAGGAGACATTTTATCCTAGGTGGAACATCAACAATGGCTGTGTGTACTTACCACTGTATATCCCCAACTCCAAAATTAAGTTTCATCTTGGAGCTACAATCAACCTAACTAGTGTAAGCAAGCATTTCACTCAGTTATAAATACAAAGGGCCTTAAAATTTTGTTTTGGAAAAACAATACAAAACTAAGAAATTAGTATATGAAAGAAAGAAAAGAAGAAGGAAGATGTACTAACAGTTATGTTATGTCATATAACAAAAACATGTTTTGAAGAAAAAAATGTCATTTTTAATAACACCCTTAGAATTACAACTTATTTAATTTTTATAAGATCAGAGGATAGGCCATTTGTTTGATTAAGTTACATGATTATATAATTGGAAGCTGTATTTAAAGACTACTAAAAGAGAACAGAACCCAAGTGTATTTGGGAATTGAAAGTTATGCCTAAAGAAAAATTTGGTTTGTTCTCATTCACTCAGCTTTTTCAAGGACAAAACTGTAAACTGTGCTCAATGAATATTCAGTTAATATTAAGGAGTCCTCTGTAGTCATGCAAGGCTTTGTGTATCTTTTCTTATTCTCACGGACCAAGCCTTTGTGCGGACCATGGCAGCAAGTTCCTCCTAAGCATTTCATCTTACGTTTTTGGTCTCATGAATACTACTTAATTAATTAAAATGCTCATAATTATTTTTATGTAGAGTCGGTTCTTAGTCTGTCGCATTCCCTCAAACAAGTTACCTTACTCCAATAATTTGAAACAATGTCCACTTCACCTCTCAAAACTGGCTGGCCATTTGTGCTCATTCCAACTCATCTGAGGTTGAGATAGTGGGACCTTTAAACAGAAGAGCTTTAGAGAACCATACTCCCTCCCGAAATTGAAAAGATGACATAAAGATCCCTTCCACCTCAGTCTTTGCGAAGTGCGTTCGTGGAACAATTCTATTTCTTGGAAAGTCAATTTATCTCAGGTTAAAATGACAAATTGCTCTGGTAAAAATTCAAAAGATTAACAATGAATGCCAAAGAAGACTTAAAGCATGACAGTTTCATAATTTTAAATATAATAGTTTGTAGTATATCATTTCTATGATCTGTGGGTACAACTTTTAAAGATAGGCATATTTGGAAACACTATGGAAGCCCAGTTGTTTATCGTAGAGTGAAAGAAATGATCACTGTCAGTTTTTCACCATTTGAGTCTCTCAGAATTTCATCTTATCTCCTGGTACTATCCTTCCACAAATAAAAATGTGTGAAGAACCATACATGTTGAATTAATTTCAGTTTAATCCTACATATTATACATAATCATACATAATGCCACTCATGGGTTGACTTTGATCACTCCATTTGGAAGGCTGTTGTCTTCTATGGAGCCCTTTTTATGGACACTGATCAGCAAGCACTGTGAGGACAATACCTTCTGGGTGTATCTTTAAAGAGGTAACTGCTGATTTCAGCTCCATCTGGAATCACAGACGAATCATGGAAAAATGTCTTATCCCGGATCTGCATCTGAAAAAGTTCCTCATCTCGGGTGGGCAGCTTTTGGGTCCTCGAGGTGAGCGGCAACAGGAACCACAGCAGACACCAGTGGAGCAGCAGCATCCTGGGCACAAGATACATGTGCTTCAATTAGTTCTGCAGGCAGACACTGGATCAGGTAGGAAACTTCCTGAAGGATCAGCACCCTAGAATCAGTGATATAGCATGTGCCTTGAATATACACACACAATCTTGACACAGGTCTCCTATTTCATTTTTTTCTTCAAATTATTTCATAATATTGAGAATAGATATACTATTATCTCAGACTTCAAAAAAAATCTTGAAATGAAAGAACCTTTGATTCATTAACTTCCTTCAGTCCTAATAGAGAAAATCAGCACTTCATTATGAGAGAAGGCAATATCATCCTTATTGAGGAAGTTCTGTCAGTGTCTGGAAGCTTAGAGGACCACCAAAGGTCTGTCCTTTAAAGTTTTAAAAAATGTTTGCCCAAGGTTGGCCAGAGTCATCCCTCATCAGCAAAGTTACTAGTCACTGACATGGTTGAACTTCCAGCCTTAGTCATAGAAACCCACTGGAAAGTGGAAATATTTTACACATTATTTTTAAATTCTTGCTCAAATGTTGACTCAGAATTTTGAAAAATATTTTAATTATAACAATATAATTTCATAAATTGGGGATTTTTAAAAAATGGCTTCATCACTTGTAAAACAATTTTTCAATGCCATAAAGTAAATTATTATATTGATGTCTAATTGTTACAACAAACAGAAGCACATTTGTATACAAATTTGCATGACAGAAACTGGGCCTCAGATCCCAGCCAAAGAATGAGCCACCAGACCTTTAAGCCTTTGGTCTTAACTTCTTTATTTTATTTTTTTTTAATTTATTAAAGATTTCTGTCTCTTCCCCACCTCCGCCTCCCCTTTCCCTCCCCCTCCCTCAATCAACTCCCCCTCCCTCGCCAACCCAACTTCTTAAAGGATCTTTGCAATTGAGTTATATGGTGGCATTGCCATTGACTTCCATTACAGGTCCCTATCAATAACAAAGGCTCGTCCTCTACTGTATACGTAGACAAGGCTTCTGTCAAGGCCATTGGTTTCCTAAAGACTCAGTTATCTGTAGAATGGCCTAGACATACACAAGGGTTGACATGTTAAGAAATACAATGGTTTTACACTTAAGTACTTTCCATAGTGAGAAAGTCAAATGCCTATGTTTGCAATATTTTGAGTTGAAGTGGATAATTTAAAAAAGCTATTACTATAAGCTTGACTAATTGACCTTGGCTTTAAAATATAGTTTGACTTTAATTTTGTCTTTTTGGGGAGTGTCACCAGGAAGAGAGATGGTTCAGTGGTTAATAGCGCATACTGCTTTTCTAGAGAGCCATGTTTTGTTCCCATCACCCAAGAAGGGAACTCATAACAGCCTGTAACTCCAGTCCCAAGGAAGTCATGACCTCGTTTGTCTTCTGGATCACCCACACACATGTGAAATTCACTCATACAGAACACACACACACACACACACAAGCACACATACATAAAAATAAAAAGATATTTAAAAATGATTTTGAAAACAATAAACTTTTTAATGATGGTATGAGTAGTTTTTCAATCATCATGGTCATTTTAACTTCTAGATTTTTTTCTGTTTTGTATATATTTTCCCATTCAAAATATCTGTAATGATGAAGTTACTGAATGCATATCCCATTTAATTGACTGCCTTACTATATTTAGAGAATGTTATGAAAGTTATGTCTACACTGGGTTACAAAATTAGTCAGAATCACAACATAGTATGAAACAGGAGTTATCATACAAAAGGAATCTCAGTTACATAGTTTGAGAAGGGATCCAATTGCAGGTAGAGTCAACTGCAACACCTAAGCTTTGCAATATCTCCCAAGACAGCTGTGGGTTTTTATCTTTTATCTCTACTTAGTTGCACTGAATTTGGAAGAAAACTTGGCAGAGAACTGAGAAAGCTAGCATTTCAATTTTCACCTTTAACTAGAGGTATGATTTTAGGCAATTCAAACAAACGCTCTGAAACTTGATTTTCTAGAGGACTTGGTTAGATGATCCCTGAATTCCTTGGGTAGACAGGGATCCTGCTAGTGGACATTAAACCTGTCATCTGTATCAGCTTGTATGCAGAAAAATTACCAGTCACTCTTGGGTGTTTGTCAACAAGAACTAGAAGAGATGCCAGTTTTTGTATGTTTTCTTCACATAAGTACAAGCTTATGTGAGATCCTGATAGAAGTCTACAAGGATCATCTGAGGGAACCAAAGTCAAAACTCAAGTAGCTTGTTCCTACCAAACAGGGACATCGTGGGCTGGACAGGTGCCTTGTCTCCTTTCTCTTTTTTACTACTGCCTGAGGTGGAAGAAAATGAAAACCTGAATGGTATTTGGCATTTGCTAAGCGTGCAATAAAACATGCTTAGGAAGACTTGCTATTTTAACCAAATAAAATGCATATACTTGTTTATTCCTCTTGGAGTAATACCGTTCCCAAATTTTGCTTCCTGAGAGGAGATCCTCGACAATTGTTTAAATTCTCTTCAGAATTGTGGGAATCTGGCTACTCCAGGGCAGTATACCTTAGTAGGCTCCCTGTCTGTCTGTCCATAAACCTCTCAACTGTACAGATCCATTTGGTGACTCAACTCCACTAAGCCAACCAATGCCTTGAAGTTTCAAATTGAGAAAACAAGTGCTCCATGACTGTCAGGAATAGCCCAAAGATGAATTTACATGATAAATTAATAATTTTGTATGTGAAGTAAAGTTCATTTTGTGGTATTTTTGGTATATCAGGTCATGCTGGGGCTCAAAAATTTCCTTATTTTTAGGGCATTTCAAAGTTTTTTTAATTATTGTTATTTTTGGATTAGAGCTGCTTGGCCTGTCAACCAAACATCCTTGGAGGATAAAGCCTTGTGATACAAAAGTGAGAATAATCATTGCACATTGTCAAAGATAGGATTCCCTAAACTTAGCTGCCTCTTTTAATCATCTTGTGGGGATTAGGGATCAGGAAGCCACTTGAAGAAACTGACACCATATCTGAGGCTGCTCATCTAAGGAATGCAGTCTCTCTGGCCTAGGAATCTCACACCTTCTTTAGGCATCCACTAAACTATGACAAACTAATTATTAGCTTGAATATTACAGACTTTAACTAAGAGAAAATAGACTTTCCAAAATTGAAAAGCAGACTCCTCTAGCTCTCAGCATAGATGTACTGAATAATTTCACCACATAGGTGCCTACTATGCCATGAACACTTCTGCATTGCTTCTTCTATCTGTGATTCGGTGTCCTTTATCCAGTTTTCATCTAGACTCTTCTTCTGTTTTATTTGTCAAAATATCATATTTCTGATGGGGAAGCTTTGTTAACCAATTATCTTTAAGAGGTGGGACAAAGTTTGAGTGTGGCTTTCTGGGACCTGAGAAAAATGGCACATCCATGGCCCAGGTGCTCCCTCTCTCTCTCTCTCTCTCTCTGTGGTTCCCTGAAAGCACAGCTGAGCTTGGACTTCCCATTCCTGTTTCGTGAGTTTTTCCCTTGTAATAAATAAAAATATGATTGTTTTATCTTTTAGCTAGCCTGGTTATTTCCCGAATTAAGCTAACTTCTGAATATTTCCTCAGATATAATCATATCAGGAATGCTTTTGGCTTCTGACAGGCATCATAATTGTCATGCAAATTATGATGAACAAGGCAGATTTTTTTTTCAGAGAAGCATTTAAAATTTTTATGACCTCAAAACACAGGAATTTATATTATATCACATTATGGTTCAACACTCAACATTTTAAACATATACTTATTTATTTATTTTCTGTGGGAGAGGACACACATGCCTTCATATGTGCTCGAATGGCAAAGGTGAAATGACAGTTTTGGGGAATAGATTCTCTCTTTGACCATTTTTGTTGTAGAGACTGAACTAAGTTGACAGTTAACATTGAGGAGGAAAAAGATACCCTGATGAACATTACTCATTTGTCCAATTTCATCAGATTATAAATAGGATTGATTTTAACAAAATGTGTTTTGAGAAAGCACTAAAAGTAATCAAACATTACTTTGCAAGCACAATATGTAGATTTTTCATTAGTAATTTTTACTCCTTGAGCAAAAATGGATTCATTCAGAGATTGTTTAAATGGAGGTCTTAAAGTTTTATAGTTTCTTTAATGCATGTGTTCTCTTTAAAGCATTCATTCTAAAAATTAGACATTTCAAAGGTATTTTTTAAATTACCCTACAAAGTCATAGATCTCATCATTTTTCAGTCCTACAGATCATGATTCTTTGTGAGTATTCAAGGTCTCCCCACGCCCTTCTCCCATCCTCCTGGCTCCTTCCTTCCTCCAAATAGTCTTCCTAATTTCATGTCACATGTAAGGAATTAGCCACTTCAAATAAACAATTGGAAATGCTTTCCTCTTTGGAGTAATCCTGGCTAAGTCAACCTCTAAGAACAGATTCTAAAATTATAAAAGTACTCTCGAATGGTGTAACTCCTCTTGTTTCTATGTTACCTCTCCATCTGTGGCTTATCTCGATTTAAAGTTTGAATTCAGTAACACTCATCAGGCCAGGCATGGTGCATGGTGGCATATACCTGTAATCACAACACTTGGAAATATTGCAAAAGGAAGGTAGGAAGGTCAGGAGTTCAAGGTCATTCTCAGCTACATACTGGGTTTATGGCTTGCCTAAGCTACAATGAAACTTTTTGTTTCACAGAAACAAAAATATCATCCCTCCCCCTCTCAAATGAGGCAAAACAAGCCCCAAAGCAACAATAATAAAAGCTCAGTAGATAGAATTTCACTTTCAGAATGACTTCTAACACGGCCATCTGGTGGATAATGTGGGGAATGTGTCTGTATAGCAAGGAATCCTGTTACCTTTCTATCAGAGTGTCGCTCAATCAGATGGAAAACATTGCCAGGATGGCTCCACATACATATCATACTCATAATACATATGAAAATCAATATGCAAACCACACACATATGCATATATGTTGCATTAGGAAAGTCAATCAGCATGACTG